TCATAATTACATTCTTGAATTTCTTCATCTTCCATTTATTCATACTCGGATTTGTCCTCTGTTTCTGATGACGACGACTCAATTTCTATAATCAAACTCAGTAATTGATGACTAATATCTTCGTCAATTTCCAATTGATTTATCTTCCTTTAAATTTGCAATTTGACTAGTATGAGTCTTTCCCCTGCATGTATAACAGACTAATTATTTATTTCTTCTTTTTGTGAACTTATTTCCTTACTTTTCTTTATTCTTCTTATATGATATGATCGATTGGGATGAATGTTGGGAGCTAACCATTGCTTGGTGAGAAGTACAAATCACTTCATCTTTTTCTTGTCCCCTAGCTCATTCGCTGCGGTTGTTTTGCAGATACCATTGTGATCTGTATTGGTAAAATCTCTTGGAGGGATCACTTGCGAATGCTGTTGAGGTAGGGCTAATGCTGTCAATGATGCTGTCAATGTTAAGTGTCATTTTTTGCAATTTAACAAAAAGCGTTTAATTTTATTTGGTGCACTGATACGTTCTAAATTTTCTTCTAGTGAATGTGATCTAAATAAGAATGATCTTTTCCAAAATCTAAAAACATGATTAGTTATGCGGATGCTGTGATATGATTGCGAAGAAAGGGGATGCAGTTTATTTTATCGATGGTTTTCTTTATCATCGAGAACCTCCTTTTTGTTGATGATGATCCTTCGTAGTATTAACCAGTCGATTTGGGATAAAATTCTGGGGCAGGTCATGGCTCCAACCTTTCAATGCAACTCCAATTCATGACAGCATTGATATTCCATAAATCACGTTCTGTTTGGGTGTGGATCTCTGGTGGGTTAGGAACTATTACTAATAACAGCTTGCTAGAAATTTTTAGCCAATGATATTATGCTTGTTTGGTTGAGATTGTAATGATATGCTACTTGCCTCTGTGTTTGCGCTGTCAACGGTGACCTTTGCAGCAAATCTATTCAGTTCTTTAAAGTATCAGTTGTTCACGTTTACTCTAACGTGGAAACTTATTTTGTCATACATGACCTCATTTTATCTGAAAATACCTTCTTATATGACATTCTTCCTACAAGAAGTTCCGGAACAAAAGCTTCAAGCTCACTCATGTTCCTTTGATGTGACTGGAAATCTTGCACTTCAACCAATGTATACCTCGTCTGATACATCTCCTCCATCTCTGCTATTACTGCATATGTAAATATTTTGTTGAAGTAATTTTCGTATGACGCTGTGAAGCTCTATTAGAGGTTAGTTAATTTGTAATCTGAATAGCGGTTCACTGTATACTTTCTCTGAGGCTTTTTGGATGTTATTGCACATATAACATGGTACTTTAACCATATAAATAGGTGGTCAGAAAAGCAGAGTTGCATTTGCCAAGATAACTTTCAAGAAACCTTACATAGTTTTGCTTGATAAGCCGTCCAATCATCTAGTAAGTTTACTCATTTTTCTCCACCTTATGACTTAGATTACTTTTTCAGTCAGCTTGTTATTGTCTTTCACTAATTGAACCTATTGGAATCTGGTCTTTACATTGAAAATACAGTAGAACCAATTAGTGATCACAGCTACAGTACATCTAACTTATAATAGAATAGAAACCAATGTAATTGTTCCAACTTGCAAAATATTAGGAATAGAGTAGTTCTACTAGCCTAATCAGTGTTTTTGTATTGCCGAAATTCATAGTACCAAGTAGTTCCGATATCTGTGCCTATAGGTAGTATTGCAGTAATTTATAGTACCGAGTAATTTCGATATCTGTGCATGTAGGTAGTATTGGGCTTTGCACATAATTAATGTGGAAATTTCTTTGTTCATAAATGGGACTTTTTTTTTGTCTGTCTTACTTTACCTCTCCCTCTCTCAGACTTTTATTCTGCCTTTTTACATAGCGTAGGAATCGAACCCCACATCTGAAACTAAACCTCCCTACCTCACCCAATTCTCTTACCTACTAAGTATTATCTTTGTAAATTGTTAGTTTCTTGTCTGAGGATAGGTGAGTATGATTCTGCATTTTTAGGAGGAATTCTGATGGTGAGGTTGATTTTCTTGCCAAAATACTTCAATTTGACCAATGATCGATCGTCTTCACAGCTAATAGCCCTCTTTTCACCTTGATTTGCAGGTTAGTCACGATGAGCATCTAATATCTGGAAGCGTGGATGAGCTCCGGGTGGTTTCTCAAGGCAAGGTGCCGCCTTTCCATGGGAATTTCCAGGATCATGAGAAGATACTTCAGTCCTCGTTGAATCAGGCGAGTTTTGTTCTTGTCATCAGCCAAGAGTGGTTCGACGGGGTCACATTACCTTACAAAACCTAAAATGAGGCTTAGCTACAGAGAGAAAGCAAAAGAGGACGAAGCGACAATTGCTGCTGATATAGAGGACGTACTCACACTTACAGCGGTCCTCGTTTGTCATTTGATTAGGGCTCGTGGAAGGACGAGTCTTAAGTTTTTGACATTGATGAATATGCAGTATCATTTACCAATAGCTTAAAACTGAGTCTGGAATCTGGATTGCAGTCCTGGTACAATTTATGACCCTTTGCCCTTTTTATACTAGCAATTGGTTCGTTAGTTGTGCCCCTGGAAGTTTAATACTCTATCGTCGCGAAGTCAGCTTTCTTATACACAGTTAAGTGATTTGATCATTTGCTAAAGAACCCTTTTTGCACAGTAAAATGATTTTATCCAGAAATATGGTCCTACTACCTGTTTGTTGTGATTTGATCCAAGCGTTCGTCCCCTACATGCATTTGCAACCCAAATCGTGAATATCGAATGATTTGGCGTCAAACGCGATGAATCTGTATGAAAATCCTCATGTTCAATTGTGATTCATGATTCCGATCATCATTTCTTTTTGGACGTTATCACAACTTGTTTCTATTTTCACGAAATTGATCTTGATCGCTTTATTCGTGACTCTGTTTCGATGCGGATATCTGATAGAAATAGCTAGTCGATAAAATTTTGTTTCTATTCAAGTTACTTTGCATCGTCTTGATTTTGTATTTGAATTCGTATGTTAGTGATTTTGTTAACAAGTTTGGTCCACGATGGTTCTATGATTGCCGAGACCGATTTCGAAACGGTTTTTAAGCCCGAGAATGCCGGATCCCGTTAACTATAAATAGAAAAGCCGTGCAAGTTTTGTAAAATAGACCAATGCATAAAAGGAAAATGAATATGCAAATGGGTCATGTTATAAGGAATGATGTACTAAATAAAATATTCTAAAATGTCGTGCTATGCTAGTAGAATGAATCTATTTATGTAATATGAACGTGGGAATATATCTAAATTTCCCTAGTTGCACCCTTAAAAAATTTAATTATTTTAATGAAAATGCAATCTAATATTACTAGCATGCAAGATATGTTTTCTTGGATTGTTTCATCTCCATGGCATAAAAAAAACGCAATAAATAATCAAGTATGTGAAGAAATATGGAAATTCACTATATATGCAATGTAAATATACCAACGTGTTACAAAAACATTAATTCGTGAGAATCCTAATATTCCTAGTGTAGCAATTATCATGATGCAAATAAAATATGAAATTCTGATTTTAATATTCGAAATGTGCGAAACTATCGATATGCTTAAAGATGCGAGAGCACAATTAGACATGCAAATTAATATCAAACTTTTTTAATATGCAAATATTCAAGATGCAATGTCATGTGGAGAATCCCTAACTAATCTAAACATGTGATTTATTTACCATACCACAATTGCGAATTTAAAACGGAAATCTAGCATTTCAACAAGATCACATTGTCCTCATCGCTCTGCCTAATCAAGGATTCCAAAATGCGTGCTTCTCGGGGTAAATTTGCCGAACAGATTACCAACGAGGAAGCGAAAGACGACCGATCAGAAATCGAGATGATCAGAGGTTAGAGTTTTGATTGAAATCCGAGTTTCGACGTGCCGATTTGAGCTTCGCTCGTCTCCGACTCACTGAATTTGATGTCTAATGAGTCTGGTGATTGTTTAATTTCCTCCTTTTACTTCCCTCTGATCCGCTGCCTTCTTCTTTTATTTTTCTCTGTTCTTGTTTTAACTCACCAAATCCTCTCCTCTCTCTCTCTCTCTGTTTCCCCCGTTTTCTTGTTATCTTCTTTCGCAGGCCGCACCCACCACTTCCACCAGCCTCTGTCTCTCCTCCGTTCTGTCTTTCTTTCTTTCTTCACTGTCTTTTTTTCTTCCTTTCTTACTGAGTTCTTTCTTTCTTCACTGTCTTTTTTTCTTCCTTTCTTACTCAGTTCTTTCTTTCCCTAATGTGGCACTATCGACCTTAGCTATACGTTTCCTATGTTGACATGGAAACTCACGTGGAAAAGTATTGTCCATGTAGGCGAAAATTGATCATTGCGAGTGCCGTTGTCTTCCTCATCCCTCTCTCCCTCGACAGCCATGGCTGCTCGTTAAGCACCATCAACACCATTGCAGACTTCAGTCTGCTGATTAAGGAGACCCAAGAAGAGAGCAGCGGCTTCATTGAAGAAGGAGAAGAAACGGAGCAGAAGAAAAAATAGAAAAATGGGACAAGTATATTGGAAGTCCTAAAACTTGTCATGAAAGCATAATTGAGTCCCAAAAGTTTCAAAAAGTGCTATTAAATCTTAAAACTTGTCACGAAGTGCAATTAAATCCTAAAACTTTCAAAAAGTGCAATCAAGTCCTAAAACTTGTCAAATTGTTCCAATAGAGTCCTTCCGTTGATTACATTTTTTCAAAGTTTTAGGACTCAATTGCACTTTCGTAACAAGTTTTATGATTCGATTATACTTTTTGAAAGTTTTAAGACTTGATTGCACTTTCATAATAAGTTTTAGAACTTATTGCATTTTTTGAAAGTTTTAAAACTCAATTGCATTTTCGTAATAAGTTTTAGGACTTTTAGTTTTCTTATCCCTAGGAAAAAAAAACAAAAGAAATGGTCATTTTTGCTTATATGGAAAACAATCTAAATAATGTAAACCATCTCAATAAAAATCAAGTGACACGACATTCAAACAATAGTGATGGCCCACGAAAGTGCTCAGTAGCTTGTCCACCTCTAAAACGACAAAACACATCGACCAACAACAGTTCCTAGAGAATCTTCACCAACCAGTTTCACAGGCGAACCTCAACTGTGATCTGCACAGGAGCAATGTCGGGCGTGTCCTTCAAAGCCGTCACGTGCCCATCGTCGTCTTCCAAGTAGGCCCTCATGAACGCCACTGCCACCCCTCCGACGAACCTCCTCATGGGCTCTCTGGATCTCCCGTTCTTGCACGAGCAGTATGAGATCAACCCTCGCAACCCCGGCGTGTCGTCGTCGAGCATGTCCATGTGGCCGTAATCTAGTGCGAGGAAGCGCCAAGCAGGCGATCGGCACTCCTTGAAGAACTCCGCGTGGTTCAACCCCTTTGGTGCGCACGCCGGCAAGACGCCGCACTTCTTGTCCTCGCCCAGGCCTGACCCGATCACCATCACGGGCATCTTCAGGTCGAAGGACTGTGCAACGTAGGTGAGGACGGCCGGTTTGGTCTGGATATGACAGCAGCATGAGGCCAGGCCATCGACGGGATCGATGCCGATCAAGGCCGAGAAGGGCAGGGCGAGTGGGGTTGATGATTTGCCGAGGGCGAGCGCGAAGGCGTCTTTGCCTCCGCGGCTGTGGCCGGCGAGGACGAGCTTGCTGAGGTTCGAGCGGACCTGGGGTGGGAGGACCGCGGCGAGGCCTTGGGACAGCCAGTTCGTGGTTGCCGCTGCGGCGTTGATCTCATCGGCGCTGTTACTCCCGGAACAGGTGTAAAGCTGTTGAAGATGAGAAACTTACTTTCATTAGTCAAATACACTAGATTAATTTAAAAGATTATAAGTCCTTTGATGTCTATCTTAACGAGGATGTATATTATAAAAAGGATACACCGTATAACGATGACACGTGATATAACTGATTAATCAAAATTTAATATGCCTACACACTTGGTGTCAAGTACGATGAGATTCATAGTAAATAAATAATCATGATTAGTTGAGCAACACACCATGTCATTATTGCCATGTGACATATTCTTTATACAAATTACTCTTTCATGATCTAAGCCTAGGTCATGTAGAGGTGGCAAATGAGAGACTTGCGAAAAAGGACACCACTAAGTGTCATGAATTTTTTTTTTCGATCAGTTGAGCGCCATAACTTTTTAAAAATATTCACCACAAGTGCTTTGCCACATCGGATTTCCGGCACTTGGGTGAACGCTTTTAAAAAAATTTGACACTTAAGTGATCGATTGAAAATTATAGCACTCAAATGAACTTTTCTAGAAATTATGACACTTAAATGATCGAAAAAAAAGCTATGACACTTAATTAATTACTTGAGTGACATAACTTTTTTAAAACGTTCACCACAAGTGCTTTACAACGTCGGATTTTCAACACTTGGGTGAATATTTTTTAAAAATTTTGGCACTTAAGTGATCGATTGGAAGTTGTCGAAAAAAAAGTTATGATATTTAAGTAAGCGTCGTACGAAAGTTATGACACTTGTGATCTCCTTATCTCAAAAGATTTGTGTCAAACATAAGTTATATATGAATGTGGATCAAATTGACCCGCTAACTCGTATACAATCACTTCCATTGTATACATAACATGCATTTCATTCTTGATCCAAGTCAAACCTAATCCAACTTTACCCACTCAAATAATTTATTTCATCTCTGTCTTAGCCGCACGGACGAACAAAAAATGAAATTTAGAAGGGATATGTTCACTAGAAGTCTTAAAACTTATCACGAAAGTGCCATTGAGTCCTAAAACTTGCAAAAAGTGCAATCAAGTCCTGAAACTTGTCAAGTTGGTTCGATCGAGTCCTAAAATTAACACCGTCAAACTAGGCTAATGGAAAATGCTGACGTGTCTTATTTTACTATTTTTTTTTAGACTCGTGGCAATGATGTGGCGTCCAACGAGCGCCACATCAGAAAAAAATTTAAAACTATAAATTAAATTAGATAAAAAAGCTAAAAGTAAAAAAAAAAGGTATGAAGAGGCACAACCGGCGGCTGTGGCCAAGCTCTCGCCGTCGTCGGTGACCGCCGTCATAGCCGCCAGGAAGGGCCGGCAGAGGTCACTTAGGCCTTCTCAAAGCCCGACGACCCTCGCTCAAAATAAATTTTACGATTTTTAGTGGTCATATCCCAATTTAGAATAAAGCCAAAATCAATCCCGACCTAATTCCAACCCAGATATTTCAAGCCAATCCGGTTCGGGTATCCGGACTTTATGAGTTTTTTTTTTTTTGGCACCTTTATGGTCTAAGATGGACTCTTTTTTCTCTAGAATTAATCATGATAATTTTGAAAATTCCACCGGACAGGACAAGACAAGACACTTTCAAGAAGGGAAGAGCTTTGTCTAGGCTTCAATCATTTGTACGGCGGCCTATGCAGGCTTGGCGGACCTCAGTGCCACGACGAGGCCATTGATCCCCGTGACCAGCTTTAATCACAGCCACCTATAAAGTTTTCTTTTTCTGTTTTATTTTTAAAAAATATATATATAGATCATTTTATGAGTACTTGAATTGTTTTGAGATACTAACAATAAGTTGATTGCTTTGCATTAATATTTATTTTATGAGTATCAAATAGTTATTTACTTTTTAGTGATCGATTCATGATTATACTTGAGAGTTGAGCACATAATATGGTATTATAATAAAACAAATATTGATTATATTATTACATAATTAATAGTATGACTGATATAAAAACTATTAAAAAAATTTAGCATTATCTAGTATCTGTTGTAAGTAAGATAATCATTATGATGATTATTACAATCCTTAATAATGAACATTTAATGGTAGACAACTAACATCATGTCAATACTTAATAAATAATGGCGCATTGCCATAATTTGACACATCAGTTTAATATATCCATTTTGTAAACTAGTTTTAATAAGTTGGAAGAACGGTGGAATGGATAGAATATACTTGGACAAGGATGTAGTCAAATACTATGTCGGTTTACACAAAGAAGGTATAGGGCTTGTCTGATAATTACATCAGAAAACTAAAACCTCCTACTCTTCATATCATTAAGTGTGTTTGATAACTTCTAATTTCACGTAACATAATTAATTATATTATGTAAAAAAATCATTTAATGCGCTATGTAAGGAATGATTTACTTAATTAGTTAAGTCATAAAATGTTCAATGGGACAATTACACTGCAAAATCCTATAATTTTAGTGCTCACTATTTCATATTTGGAGAGAGAGAGAGAGAGAGAATCCACCTGAGGAGCGACCACGATAAAGCCATGAGAGGAAACATGTCGGATGAGCTGCGAGTAGAAGGAAGTTTCCATCATAAAACCATGGAGGAGCACCATAACAGGGAACTCTCCGGCAGCTTCAGCCGGAGCTCCGATCAGAAGAGGCTTCGGAGGCGGATTCGCGAGATCGGAAGGCGACGTGGCTACCTTTATAAGCACGGTCTCGTACTTCCCAAGCTGAAACACGTCGGTAGTCATAGTTGAAGCTGCCATGGTCGAATCCTGCAGTACTAGCTTCTATAATTCCTGTGTGAATTTGTAGTGATAAGTTTCGCCATATGATGCATGTATCTATAAAGAGTCTCGATCCAAAGGACAGACCCAAAAACGAATTTGTGGACGTAAAATGGCCTCTTTTAAACATGACTTGAATGAAACACGTGAGGCTTGAAGTAGAGACAACTTAGGACTTTGACTACTGGACCACCAAACCGGCCGCATGAAGAGAGAGAGTTTAAAGAGAGAGAAAGAGAGAGATTCTAATTTCCAAGTGCACATTTTGAAACCCAACTTTATGATATTGATAAAGGGGATAATGTTGTGCACTTATTTACAAGATTCTCGTTTTACTTTTTAAAAATGGGCCTAAATACCATAAAAAAAACTCTCAACTTTAGATCTAATCCCAATTCTACCATAAACATTTTTTTGTCCCATAAAAAACCTTTAACTTTTAGTCACGTTCCAATTCTACCCGAAACTTTTTTTGTCCCATAAAATACCCCTGAACTTTAGTCCCAGTCGCAATCTATCTTAAACTTTTTTGTCTCATAAAAATCACCAACTTTTACTTTGAGTCCCAAACTTGCCCCCGTTAACCTTATGAGAAAACTCCCTAGCACAAACTATTCAAGCGTCCTAAGCGCAAACTCTTTGACCTTGGTTCTCACTTTCTTCAATTGGATCAAGGATGATTTGGGTCTCAAATCCAGTGGCCGGCGAGACCATGACCAAGAAAAAGATTAATAGGAAAGAAAAGAAAGAAAAATAGTTTTTTTGGACGAAAATGCCCTTGATCAGCCTGATGATTTGGTTGGTCAGTGAGATTACACCCTTCTTTAAGACTGACGTGGCTACTTCAAACTCTTATTTAAAATAAGATTCACTTTATACCTTTTTTTTTTAGAAAATGAGAGCACTTTTGGCCCTTACTTAGAAATTTCCCAATTTCCTTTGATAAAGTCATCTTGTAAGATTATGCTTGTATCATGACAATAAACAGATTATAGTTGATTGATTATCCAAACACAAGCCACAAAAATTCAAGTTCAAAAACACGTTGGTTCAATTTAGTAGTTAGCCACTAGGCACACAGGCAAGTGGTAAGGGAATTAGGGGGGTGGGAATGCTATCACAGGTGAGGAGGAGTTCGACTCCTGCGCTATACAAAACGACAGAGCAAAAGTCTAAAAGTCTGAAAGAGATGAAAACTAGAGATATAAAAGATCAAATAAAGAATTTAGTAGTTAAAAAATTAATAGTCCTTCTTTCGTGTGAATTAGGTTCATAGAATATGTTTCGATCCCTGAAGCATCAAGTACAGATAATTTATTTTTCCTTATCACTAACACGAGTTTATGCTAAAAAAGAAAATGGTTAATACCAAGAAAAATCCTAAATTGATACACTTGTGATAAATTTACTTCAAACTAATTTTTTGATAACCAAAAACCCTAAACCGGTACATGCCCTCCGTTAGTGTCCCTTAAACTAGATTAATACCACAAAAAAATCACAAACAGGTACACCTGTGACAAATGGAGGGTAAAACCCAAAACTAGTACATCCATCAACTGCCGCGTGTTATTTAACAAAATAATTTGATAGTCAAATTTAACGGAAACGACCAGAGGGTAAATTTGTCACAGGTGTATCAGTTTGGGTTTTTTGTAGTTAAAAAATTAGTTTATGGTAAATTTGTCACATGTATATCAGTTCGGGGTTTTTCGTGGTATTAACCCAAAAGAAAAATTCAAATTCAGAAGAGATACGAAGGACCAACTTCTTGTTTCACGTACGCTTGGAGGGCCATAATGGACCACGTGCTAGGAATTGATACTCTGCCGGCCCCGAATCATGTTTTTTTCAATGTGTCCATCCACCATTCGAAACGGCCACATGGTATTTAAAGCACGATCAACATTCGAAAGCGAAGCGTGGTCCATGTTATAAATGCGTGGTACATTTGAATGGTAAGTGCACCTAAAGTTAGTGGGACTACTAGGGTACATATAATGTTAGTGGTCTGCCCTAAGAATCAATCAAGGTTGATACTCTAATATTAGTTGTGGATTAGGTTATGTCGGAAAACCGATCTTCACTATACTTAGGTAGTCATAATGTCTTGCTAGAGACCGCTTATGATTTGTGGGCCAAAAGAGTTTTAGGCACACTGCTAATGTTTAGTGAACCTACAGGGTCGCACACAATAGCGAACGGACTTAATATTGTCTGTGCGCCTTGATCTACTTAAGAAGTAGATTTTAATTTATTCTCCTATTTAAATTATCTATGCGGTCGTGCGCGTTATGAGATAATGATTAAACGTACGATTGAAGGTAGACGGTTTGGCGGGCCCAAATAGCCCAGCCCACTTCTTTTAATTCCGCTAGATAATGAGGCTGTATAAATAGATAGAGAATCGTTCTCTGTCTATGGTTTTTCGATAGAGTATCGAAAATCAAAAGGCGTTCAAGAAAAAGGAACTTCAAGATCTTTCGCTAGCACGTGGATCGTTGGAGAATTCCGTTCGTGTGTGTGGATACCGGTAGAAGCGCAACACTTGGGGCGCTAATCCAGACACAATCGATTGCCGATTTATCTTCAATCTGCAAAAGGTACGTATCGAAATTCCTTTTCGATTTCAATATACACATGGATCCTGTCTAGGGTTCTCTATTCCGCTGCGTTGTTTTTCGTTGATGAACCCTACAGTGGTATCATAGCTGCTTGTGATATATTGAAATTGAATCGGAAACCCTAATTGTTGATACATATGATGTATGCCTGAAGTGAGTCTCAATTAGGGTTAGATGAATTTAAAATACGAATTGATATGATCAATTGAGAAGGAACGAAGCAGGGATGGATTGATCTTGTTCCGCTTCGCGCTGAAGGCATTGCCCGAGGCGAGAAACGGCGTCGTGCACAGGGCATTGCCCGAGGCGGAGACAGCGAGCGAGAGGCGGTGGCGCGTCTGGGCCTGTTGCCCGAGGCGGAGACGGCAACGCGCCTGGTCATCCGGCACGTCGAGGACTCAAGGCGTTCGGCCAGATGCGTACGGTGAGGGCGCGGGAGGTGGCAGCGACGGATAGTCTCCTGAGAATACAGAAGTGAGACTTCTGTCAATGTTTTCGGGGCTCTCCTGGAAAACAGAATTGAGAATTCTGTCTAGGTTTCGGGGGCGCTGCCCCTCGACCCCGCAAGGGGGCGCAACCCCCTTGACCCATGCATGGAATTGGTCGTTCCCGTATGATTGATGTACCTTTGTTATTATAAGTGATGTTTCGTTTATGTTTATAACATGCATGCATTCATCACTAAATAAACATTAAGAGTCCCTAATAAAATTAAGTAATAATATGATGCCTTTCCAATCATACACCTATTACGACTCGAATCGTCAAAAGATGGGCCTGCCAAAGCAGGGTGTCTTTAATTATTTGAGTAAAATAGGATGGATAATGGTTATCCATATGTTAAGATTGGTTTACTTAACGAGGCTATCAAAACAGTTTTGGGCCTTGAGGCATAGTGTTTGGGGATAAGATATGAGATGTCAACCCCAACAACCAAGAGTTGTATTCGATACAATTGACAAAGAGTTGTCTACCTAAATAATTTAGTCTTGAGCGGTAAACCAAAGTTTACTCGAGTCTTGGTGAAATATGGATATTGGTCCATTATACTTATTGGGACACATATTATAAAAGTATAGTGGGAGTTTATTATAAGTAATATTAATGAACAATTCACTTTGCATATTTGTTGTAGATAATGGCAAATAGCTCTGCATCACACTTTTCACTGCGATCTATCCTTGAGAAGGACAAATTGAATGGTTCAAACTTCTTGGACTAGTATAGAAGCTTGAGAATTGTTCTCAAGCAAGAGAAAAAGGATTATGTCTTGGAGAAATCACTCCCTCAGAAGGCACCTCCTTCCAATGCTCCCCATGCTGAAAGGAATGCTTATCAGAAGCATAAAGATGATGCATTGGATGCATCATGTCTAATGTTAGCTACCATGAACTCAGACCTTTAGAAGCAGTTTGAGAACGTGGATGCCTATGATATGATCATGAACCTGAAAAATTTGTTTCAGGAGCAGGCACTCACTAAAAGGTACCAAACGGTAAAGACCTTAATTGAGTGCAAGCTAACAAGTGGGAGCTCAGTTAGCCCACATGTCATAAAGATGATAGGTTATATTGAAAACCTGGAGCGACTGGGCTCTCCCATTAGCCAAGAGTTGGCTACTGACATTATTCTTCAGTCATTGCCTCAAGATTATGACACGTTTGTTATGAACTATAACATGCATAATCTGAACAAGTATTTGACTGAACTGCATGGGATGCTCAAAACTGCTGAGCAGAATATCAAGAAGGACCCTACCCCTAATGTTCTCATGGTTCAAAAGGTGAAAGGCTTTAAGAAGCCAGGTAAGGTCAAGGGTAAGGGCAAAGGCACTAAGCCCAAACCCAAATCCAAGACCAAACCGGGTCCGACTGCTGATGCTGTATGTTTCCATTGTGGGGAGAATGGACATTGGAAGAGGAATTGCAAGAAATATTTGGAGGATCTGAAGAAAAAGGGAAGTGAGACTTCCGATTCAGGTATTTATGTTATAGAAGTAAATGTTACTACTAGTTCTACTTCATGGGTATTGGATACCGGTTGTGGTACTCACATTTGTATGAATGTGCAGGGACTAAAACGAAGTAGAACACTTACAAAAGGTGAAGTGGAGCTACGCGTTGGGAATGGAGCAAGAGTTGCTGCATTAGCCGTAGGAACATATGATGTAGCTTTACCTTCTGGCATGATTTTAGGACTGAATAATTGCTACTATGTACCTGCTATACGCAGGAATATTATTTCTGTTTCTTGTTTAGACAAGGAAGGTTTCTGTTTTGATATAAAGAACAATAGTTGTTCGTTTTATCTTAATGGATTATTTTATAGTAGCGCCCATATTGTGGATAGGATATATGTTCTAAATCTTGATGTGCCAATCTATAATATAAATACAAAAAGGTTTAAATCTAATGATTTGAATCCAACCTACGTATGGCATTGTCGAT